AATCTCTAATGAGAGGACTCTAATCTAAAGGCACCTAACCTAGTCTAGGGTAATTGGTCAGGAAAATTTCCTGAAAGGTGACTTTTCGGCTAAAATCAGGCTGCCAATCAACATAAGAAAGTGTAATAGGAGTCAGGTAGCAAAGTTAGTGTCATTTATTTACTTAGCAATTCCTATAAAGTAGGGCATGAATATGGGACCAGAATAAATGCTGGTAGGCAGAACACACCCCAAATTGTATATAACAAGAGAGTGGCTGTACAAAAAAAATAGATGTGAAATCAAGTACTACAATTCCCATTCTGATTTTTGACCATGAAAAAAGTGGTCAAACTCACAAAGCCTAGCTTTCTAAGGAAATACACTAGCCTCTAATAAATAACCTCTAATAGCCTCTAATAGTAGTGCTATCTTAAAGAGTCTGGAGTGTTTGAGGACATTTTTTAGGTTTTAAATCTACACCTTAGAAAATATCACAAAAAGGGATCATATTGATGAACGTAGAAAATCAATTCCTGGCTTAGCTACTACTCTTTACTCAGTCATTTTAATAACTGTGTCTTTCTTCTTTTGCTTAACATAATCATTTTGAGACTCATTCACGTTGTTGTATAGCAATAGTTCAAACTTTTGTTGTAGAATTCTATGGTATAAATATATCATAATTTATTATTCCATTCTTCTGTTGACACAATAAACTCTCCTACAGGGTTGCCGAGGTCCAAAAACAGAGTTCTCAAATTGCTTGGGCTCTACTCTTTACTCAGCCCATAGTAATCATCTGACTGTTTATATTGAGGAGGGTGCCCTCCTTATCATTTAATCACAGCTGTCAGCTCTGGGAACATCTTTGCAAAGGGAAAGCATTTAAATACTATAATGCTTGCAGTATTAGGGTAATTACCAAGAGGAAAGATCAAACTCCAAGAATATGTAGTGTGCTCACAATTTCAGTAGATAATGGAAAGTAAACTGAGGGCATAAGATCCATGAAGGGTGAAATCTATCATATAAGCAGGAGAAATTTATTAAATAAGAAGATTCTGCATACTCTTAACATTTTTGATATTGTTTTATTATATATGTAATTTACAAATGAAATGCATAGATCTTTAGTGTTCAGTTTCATGAGTTCTGCCAAATATATATGTATATGTATATATTTGTGTAACCTCTACCCAAAACGAAATATATAGAATATCTCCATTATCTCAGAAAATCACCTTAATCCCTTTCTCGACGAATGACCTCCTCAAAAACAGCAACCACTTCAAACACAAAAAATTAGTTTTGTCTGTTTTTGGACTTCATATAAATGGAATTGTGTCTTTCTTCTTTTGCTTAACATAATCGTTTTGAGACTCATTCACGTTGTTGTATAGCAATAGTTCAAACTTTTGTTGTAGAATTCTACGGTATAAATATATCATAATTTATTATTCCATTCTTCTGTTGATAGACATTTGGGCTGTCTCTACACTTGGGCTGTATATGAATAACTGTTGTGTACAAGTCATTTTGGGACATATGTTTTCATTTTTCTTGAGTAAATACCTAAGAGTAGAGTATGGTTGATGTAAGGTTAATTTTATGGGAAGTTACCAAGCAGTTCTTCAAAATGGTTGTACCATTTTACACTCTCACCTACAATATGTGTGAGTTCCAATTGCTGTACTTCCTTATTGCTGTACTATCACTTATTGTTGTCAATGTCTTTTATTTAAGCCATTTCAGTAGGTGTGAAATGGTATCTCGTTATGATTTTAATTTGCATTTCCCTGATGCCTAATAAACTCCAAAGTATTTGAAAATAACCCTTAAAGAATAAGTCACAGAGGAAATTAGACTATTTTAAACTGAATGAAAATGAAAACAAAACATAACAAATTGTGGGATGCAGCAAAAGCAGCATGTTTTTACTGCTTTGTTAGAAAGTGCTTATATTAGAAAAAAGGAAAAGTGTAAAATCAGTGACCTAAGCTCCTATTTAGAAAAAGAACAAATTATATCCAAAATAAGTAGAAGAAAATAATAAAAATAAGAACAGAAATCAGTAAAATAGAAAATGGATAAATAGGGAAAATACAAGGTCGAAATTTGTTTTTTTTTGGAGGATTAATAAAATTGATAAATCCCTAGCAAGATTTATCAAGAAAAAAATAGAGAAAACACAAATGACCAATATTGGGAATACAAAAAGGGATATCATTATAGATGCTACAGATGGTAAGAGGAAAAATATTAAGATATTATGAATAACTTTATTCTAATAAATTGGACAACTTAAATGAAATAGACAAATTCCTTTAAAAACTCAAATATCACAATGAACACAGGAAGAAAAAAGAAAAATCTGAACAGCCAAATTTATTAAAGAAATTGAATTTATTATCAAACTCTTTGTGCAAAGAAAACTCCAGAGACAGATGGCTTCACAGGTGAACTCTACCAAATATTTATCTAAGGAAGAAAAAAATAACAATCATACACAAACTGTTTCACAGCACAGAGGAGGAAACACTTTCCAATTTATTTTGTGAGGCCAGAATAACCTTGATATGAAAACTAGATAAAGATATTACAAGAAAATTAATATCCTTCATGAACATATGCAAAATCTGATTACTCTTTGATGCAGCAATTCCATTTCTAGGAGTTTATACTAAAGAAGTACTCTTAGAGTTGTACAAAGATTAGCTTCAGGATATCTACTATAGCAATATTTCTAATAGTAAAAATTGGAAACAACGTAAATGTGACCAGTTAAATATGGTATACTTATACAATAGAATATGTAGCCATTAAAATATATATTGAAACAGAAAAATTCACTTTACATTATTTATTTTAAAAGTAGATGTCAAAGATTTTAAGTGCTCGCACCACGCCTGTGCGCGCATGCGCACACACGCGCACAAAGAGGAAATGGGTCTATTTACTGTAGTAACCATTTCACTGTTTATGTATATTAATCATCTCAATAGATAATTTTTATTTTTAAATATATACAATTTTTATTTTTAAATAAATGCACATTACCAAATAGTATTATGGCATGATATTTTTTAAAGAAAAATATGTGTTTTTATGCAAGGAAAAAAGACTGGAAGGACATAAACCAAATGTCAAAAATGGTTAACTGTTAAATGAAAGTATGGTTGACTTTTATTTCCTTCTTTTTGCTTATCTCTATTCTTTGCGACGAATATATATTGCTTTTCTAATACAAAAAAATGTAAAAATCTCACTAATAGGCATTTTTGTACCTCTTCCCTCACATTTATTAGGAAGAAATGATTTGGGGTTGTGGAAAGTTCCTCTTCACCTCCAACCTCAAACATACTCATCCTGGATGACTGGATACAGTTTTGCCCTCCTTTGACTCAATGAGTCCACAATGGCCCTGCCCTTTTGGCCCAACCTTCTCTACTCAGCAGGTGAGGTAATATAAGTTTTGTCACTGCTCTACCGTGTGACTTTTGGCAAGGTCCTTTTCTTAAAGGTTTCAGTTTCTCCTCTTTAAATTTAGTAATTAGAAGTACTGGTTGATAGATGGTCACCGGGATGGGGAGCACGGCATAGGAAATGCAGTTAGCATTAATGTAATGGCCAGGTGGAAAGCCAGAGGGGAGAAAGAGCAATGAGGGGGATCACTTTATAAACTATATAAATGTCTAACCAGAGTACTGTATACTTGAAACTAATAATTTTTTTTTTAATTAGTAATTCGAATCAATGAGCTTCAAGGTCCCTCCCAGATAGTTGAAAGAACACAGATTTAGAATCAGAACACCTCCAGGCGCACTTGAGAATGTGGGCTCACCTCTCAGGAAAATATTCCTTACTAACCTCCCGTGTCTCCAGCCAGATGATAAGCACCTCCCAGCCCAGGCCTGGATTTATAATCTCACTGGTCCTGATGTACGGCTCGTCACAGAATAGTTGCTCAGAGAATTAGCTTTTTGCCTCCACCTCCTTAAAACGACTCCAGAATAGGTTTTCTAAGCTTGCTCCTCATGATCTAAACCACAAGGTTAGTTTTAAGTATTGGGGCACACATCGTGCACTCCTCCCCTCCCCCCCGCCCCGAATTACTTGGTAACAGTGCTTGTTTGAAAAAATTCACCAAGCAAAGTCAGGTCTGGACACCTCTCCTACGACTGCCACACCAATGGCTGAGAAATTTTTGAGTTGTCATCCAGTTGGGGCATTGATCGGAAAAGTCATCTCAGGGCTGCCCGCCCGCGGCATGCTGGAGAAACCACATTCCCCTCAGGTGCCTAGGCTGTTACCACGCGGCTTCGGGAAAGAGATTTGGCGAGTCTCAGCTTTGCCACTGTGAAGCTGTGTGACCTTGGACAAGTCCCTTCCTCCATCAGGACCACCGCAGTGGGCCGAAGTGCCTCCTCCCAGGTTGGTCTATACTATGGGGACAGTCGAAACATTCGCCTTTAAACGTTTATTGACCTCTGATAACATGCGTGTTATCAGAGGGGGACCAGAAGCAAGGGACTCAAGGGTCACGGCACGCGAGCATCCACAACCCACACCACGGCTCTCTCGCGAGATCACCTCCCTGTGCTTCACGGCATCAGCCTCTTGGTCGTGGCGGCCACATCGCGGAAGACATTCACAGGGGCGGCCCGTATCCCTCCGCCGCCGGCGCGGCCCGGCCCTCCTTCCCTCGGCCCGCCAATCC